GGAGGGAGGGAGGGAGGGAGAAGGGGGGTGCGGCCGCCGTCTGTCAGGGCCCGCCGCCATCTTGTCGTCGCCGTCGTCCCGGGGCTGGGTGTTCGCTGACCGGGCCGCCGCCCTTACTCCCCCCCCCAACCCCGCCTTTTCCACCGCAGAACCTCCGCCATGGAAGAGGAGATCGCCGCCCTCGTCATCGACAACGGCTCCGGCATGTGCAAGGCCGGGTTCGCCGGGGACGACGCTCCCCGCGCCGTCTTCCCCTCCATCGTCGGTCGCCCCCGGCACCAGGTAATGGCGGGGAGGGAGCGGGCAGGGCCGTGTTTGGGCTGAGGGAGGGGTTTTTTGGTCGTTCAAGGCGCTGACTGTGACTCTGGTTTCCTCAGGGTGTGATGGTGGGGATGGGGCAGAAGGACAGCTACGTGGGGGATGAGGCGCAGAGCAAGAGGGGGATCCTCACCCTCAAGTACCCCATCGAGCACGGCATCGTCACCAACTGGGACGACATGGAGAAGATCTGGCACCACACCTTCTACAACGAGCTGCGGGTGGCCCCCGAGGAGCACCCCGTCCTGCTCACCGAGGCCCCCCTCAACCCCAAGGCCAACAGGGAGAAGATGACACAGGTAGGGTCTCTCCCCCGCCGCCCGCCTTTCGCTCTCATCTTATTCCCCACCCTCCTTCTCATTATGACATCTTATAAACCTAAGTTTTTTTTGTTTGTGTTTTTTTTTTTCTTTCTCCCGACATTTTCAGGGCTCTGTACTCCTGGCATTTCTTCCCTGACGCCTCAGGTTTCTTTCATTTGTGTTTCTGCCTGCATTCTTTGTCTTTTGTTTTTTTTTTTTTACCTTCACACACTGAGGTTTTTTTTGCATGTCAGCATGTGTGCTTTAACACGGGTGTGAGTGACCCTGCTTGTTACTCGGTGCTAATCTGATTGATTGATTGTTTTTATTTCATTTTCCTGTTCCTCCCAGATTATGTTTGAGACCTTCAACACCCCCGCCATGTACGTGGCCATCCAGGCCGTGCTGTCCCTGTACGCCTCCGGTCGTACCACTGGTATTGTTATGGACTCCGGGGATGGTGTCACCCACACCGTGCCCATCTACGAGGGTTATGCTCTGCCCCACGCCATCCTCCGCCTGGATTTGGCTGGCCGTGACCTGACAGACTACCTCATGAAGATCCTGACAGAAAGAGGCTACAGCTTCACCACCACGGCCGAAAGGGAAATTGTCCGTGACATCAAGGAAAAGCTGTGCTACGTCGCCCTGGACTTCGAGCAGGAGATGGCCACAGCTGCCTCTTCTTCCTCTCTGGAGAAGAGCTACGAGCTGCCCGATGGCCAGGTCATCACCATCGGCAACGAGAGGTTCAGGTGTCCAGAAGCTCTTTTCCAGCCTTCCTTCCTGGGTAGGTCTGAGGTTGATGTTGACCGAAACGAAGCGGGGTGTTCACCTGGTGCGCTAACGAACCTTTGCACATAATGAACCCTTCTCCTCCTCCTCTTCCTCCTCCTCCAGGCATGGAGTCCTGCGGCATTCACGAGACCACTTTCAACTCCATCATGAAGTGTGACGTGGACATCAGGAAGGACCTCTACGCCAACACGGTGCTGTCGGGTGGCACCACCATGTACCCTGGCATCGCCGACAGGATGCAGAAGGAGATCACAGCCCTGGCGCCCAGCACGATGAAGATCAAGGTAGGAAACACCAATGAACCCTTCTCCTCCTCCTCTTCCTCCTCCTCCAGGCATGGAGTCCTGCGGCATTCACGAGACCACTTTCAACTCCATCATGAAGTGTGACGTGGACATCAGGAAGGACCTCTACGCCAACACGGTGCTGTCGGGTGGCACCACCATGTACCCTGGCATCGCCGACAGGATGCAGAAGGAGATCACAGCCCTGGCGCCCAGCACGATGAAGATCAAGGTAGGAAACACACACACCCCTCCTGAGATGTGCTATGGGGAAGGGAGGAGAAAGCTGAACCCTCACTGATGATTATTTGGGGTATTTTTTTCCCCCTTTCCCTTTCTTTTTGCAGATCATCGCTCCCCCCGAGCGCAAATACTCCGTCTGGATCGGCGGCTCCATCCTGGCCTCGCTCTCCACCTTCCAGCAGATGTGGATCAGCAAGCAGGAGTACGACGAGTCCGGCCCCTCCATCGTCCACCGTAAATGCTTCTAAAAAGATAAAAAAAGAAAGAAAACAAAAAATAACTTGGACTGCCGGCGGGCGCGCGCCCCCCCCCATCCCCCCCACCGCGTGCCCGCTGCATGAGATTTTTTTTGTTTTTTCTTTTTTTGTTGGTTTTTTTGTCTCACTAAAGTATACGTTTGCCCAGGCAAATCTATACACCTCATGCTAGCCTCATACAACTGGAATAAGCCTTTCTTTCCAAAAAAAAAACAAAAAAGAGAAAGAAACTTGCCCTTGGAAAAGTCTGTACCTGATGTTAGACACATGTCAGCACTGGACGCTCGAGCTGTCACTTTGATATCATTATTAATTTTTTTTTTTTACCCCATTTATTTGAGTTTAAGGGTTGGTTTTGGGTTGATTATTTTTTTTTTTTGGCTTTTTCTCTTTTTTTCTTTTTTTCCTCGGGTGTATGCCTGAGCAAAATACCCTGTCCCCATGGGCTACCAGCCACGGGGCCACCTCTGGCCCACCCTGACCCGTGGCTCCCACACTGACAGTGCCCCCCCTTTTCCCCCCCCCTCCCCACAACCTACAGGGTATTTTGGGGTCAGACTTTGCCGTTTATCCCCCCCCTACCCCCCCCTTTCCTGGAATATTCCAGATTATTTTTGGGTTTTTTCCTGTCGAGGCTGGTAGGAGTCTCCTGGAGAATTCATTTCTGGGGAAAAGGTTTTGGGGGGGAAAAAATGAAAACCACCAACATATCGCATCCGAGCCTTATGAACCGCTCTTCATCCTCCTCCTCCTCCTCCTCACCCTGGGGCTGAAGTTCCTCAACTTTTTAAGTTGCCGGAAACTTTGCAATTTACACCTGTAAATTTATGCATCGTTTTAATTTATGTAAGATTTTTTTGGGGTTTGGTTTTTTTTTTTGGTTTGTTCTTTTTTTTTTTTTTTTTTTTTTTGTACGTTGCCTTAATGTTCTCACGTGACGGTAGGAAATAACGAAAAACCAAAATTTGTAAAAAATCAGCCGAAAAGTTGAGAAATTGTAAAAGCCCAACAACAAAACACATCATTGTGTAAGGAAAATAAAACAAAAACAAAAACAAAAAATAAAATTGGGGGCTGTGTTTGTCTTTGGGATTGTCCCACCCCGTGGGGGCCAGGGGGGAGTCGAGCTGGGGCTCCCCAGGAAGGTGGTGGTGATGGTGAGGTGGCACTTTTTGGGGTGAAAAAAGGCTGTTTAGGTGCCAAGGGGGTGTTTAG